CAGACAAGTTCAGAATGCTTCCCAGTACCATGCATAGTATTGATGGTTGTAAAGATTCCTAACTTTATCATTTTTTAAACAAATCGAAAATGAATGATCTCATTTAGATGACTTATAGAGAATTAAAACCAAATCAGCACAGTAAGAGTAAAAACAAACAAAGGAAACCCCCACAAGTGTGACAAGTGTGAAGATGGAACATTAGAACCATTTCAATAAATAATTAACAAAATTTTGAATGACTATATCTTCATAGGCCTACAAAATGTTGGTGCGGAAATTCCTGTCAATGAATTCAATATTGGATATCTGATTTGTGGTCAGTTTTTCAAGTAGTTTATCAACAACGGTTAAAGCCTTCTCCGCATTTATAAACCTGGATTCACGTATTACATAGATTGGTAGCAAAACTCCTTCAATGTTGACCTGACAGCTGGATAAACCAGGTCAGAACATAACATCTGTGTGTCGAAATTATGACTTATCATATTTTTACACACATTTTACAAGTTTATTAGCACTTTTAGACAGAAGGAACCGAGCCTTGAAGTCAGGACATAGCCTTCGGTTGGAAATAAATGTTTCCATTCATGAAAATTGTAAAAACATATCCTTAATGGCCATTACTGTTTTCTTGGTGATCTCAAAAAATCTTTTCTTTGCTTGTTTTCTTTATTGGTGACAATAGTGTGTGAATATTAGCATCGGATGAAAGATCAAACCACATACAATGCATGTGCATTTTATTACTTTCACCAACTACTTGCTAAATATGGAATGTGGGTGGTATGTCTCTAATTCCCAAGAAAGATGAATACATTTAGCCAAATGTTCCCCTTTTTACTCAATGGGTGAGCAGTCATTTTCTCCTTTATTTCTTCATAATGTGTCAACCTTTGCACACCTGTCACACAGGTTGATGTTGTGATTAGAATCACTAGATACGTGAAAGGTTAGACAGCAAATTAAAATTACCATTATTCAGCATTCTGATACTCATAGCATCTTTCTGTTTGGGCTGAGAAGATTTGAGATGTCATGGCTTATCATGATGATTATTCAGATACTTGGCAATTTGCATTTTCTCAAGGTATAGGTTCATATTTTTGTGTTCTCTAATGTTACCCTTCGTAACCAGAATCCCTGGATGAACGAATCCCCTTGATTCATCTTCTTTTTAAGAGTTCTGAATCATTCATATTGCTTTAAGCCTTTGTTTGCTTATTTAGTATTTTTGCTGACTGCTGGTCAAGGATTCAAATAAACAGAAAACTACAAAGTGTTTGCACAAAAATTGAAGTGTGTGCATATACAATTTCCTCAAAATATTTCAATAAGTGAGCAACTTTAGGGAGGTGGTCTTAAGGTTAAGATCCCATATACCTACATTGTTGAGTGGACATCCAAACAATGGTATATTAGGTTATGACCTCTTTCTATGGATTATTGGATGTATGAAGTGATGTTGTTTTCATGGATTTTTGTAAGGAGTTTGAATGTGGAATTATGTTAGCTACTCAGAGGTAAAAGTCATTTGTACTTTTCCGATGGCCAGAAAGGTAAAGGTACATATGGGCTACTGATTAAATGTAGGTCACCACAAAGAATCGTTTCTCCCTTTAGAGAGTGCAGAAGCTGGGCTCTTGAAGAGGGTTGATTCTAGTCTGTTCTGAATTCAGGATGATATAATCTGTCTGCTATATTACCATGATGTATTATGGTTTGATCACTTGGCTGCCAATTAGAACCTCGTGTAATTATTGAATCGTGCATAAGGCCTTTGTACTTGTTGCAATTGTGTTTTCTGCCTTAGTCAGGATTCCTGCTCCAAATTACGTATTAATTCATTTGGTTGAGCTATTGTATTTTCTAACCTAATGGAGAAGGTGTGTATAATAGCAGCTATACAAAGGGCTGGTGCAAGACCCTACTTATGTAGTTATTAGGCTATAATTCTCAAAAATATATAAATGTTCTATTCCAGCTTATGTTTATATTTAAGTATGTAGTCGATACATTTCCCTATTCAGAACATTTCTGTGGTTTTGGTGGTTTTTGCAATGTATTTTGACTACATAGTCTATACAAACTTTGTTTGATACATGCACATACCTTAAGTACTATTGAAAAGTATATTGCTATTTCCTTTAAATCAATTAACTCTATTTTTTATATGATTCCATTAACCCCAACCCTTTATAATGAATAGCTGATATACTCTACAATGATCAGATAACAAGGTATTGGCACATGAGCTGTAATTATATGAACATGGCATCATTCAGCATAAACAGCTCAAAGCAATTTTGGATCATAAATCATTAATAAGTCAGCCCCCACAATGGACTCTTTCAATCCTCCACTTGAAAATCATCAAAATCTCATAAACTTGTCAAGTATTGTCTAGCAGTAAAAAGCAGTAACTTTTTATTAGGCCAGAAAACCACACAACTGATACAGTACGGTGTAAGATGGGAGCTTGTCTTTATGGTACGAGACCAAACTGAAGTAGTGTTGTTCGTAGCGCAAAATGTCTATTAAACATGAGGTGAATATATATTAGACAATTTAATAATACATGTGAATATTATGGGTCACAATGGTTCTGTGTCAAAATGTGCATCAGCAATACCCCTCTTCTGTCTAAAGTGTACTGCCTAGTTGGAAATAGGTAGCATGATGAAAATTTCATAAGCGAAGAGAATAGGCTTTCATAATCTTATGTATCTTGCTTGTGGACTCAGCCCAACCAATATATACTGATCACTTGTCATTATCAGAGTATATTGTTTCTGCATTATCAACCACAATTCTTGGATTATGACAGGTGAATTGATAGTCTTGCTTCAAGACCTCCGCCCCCACTCAACAACCTGTTGTTGAAGTAGATAAGGGAGAGGGGTCCAAGGTTTTGAAGTAAGACTACTGAAGTTACCACGCAGACTAAGTTACAGGCTTCAACAGTAATCGTAACAATCTGGCTATTACAAATCCCTCATTCAAAGGGCTTCATTTACTTTCCAATTCCCTTGGACTAAGGATGGGCCAAACTTTCTCTCAGGACTTTCCATTTCAGCACTCTGGTCAGTAGAAGGATACATCAACAGTAGTTACCATAGTACCTACCCCTGACACCATGTGAATCATTAGTAGCCAAATATCTTTCATTATATACAGTCTTTCAAGGGGCCCCACTTGACCTTTACATCACATGAATACTCTCCCCTTCTTATTACAAACTTCACTATTAAAACCCCATAAATCATCTTTTTTAAGAACTACTTACAACAAAGATGAGTTAATGTTAAAACATTCAAATGGCTTGGGCTGGTTGAGAATATTGATAATTTAGTCATAAACAATAAAAGAGCTTCCCTTTTTAAGGTTAAATGAATGAGCTTTAAATCCTTTTCATAGCAAATATACGATCATACCAGACTATCTCTGTTGATGGTTTTATAATAGACTACAAAGTTAAGAAAAAATACAAGTGCTTCGGACTTAGATCCCACAGTCTATACTTAAGTGTATAGTACATGTTCTGTATATGCATAAAGGAAAAGTTGGGTGGAAACTTGCTCCATCAAAACTGACAGATGAGACCATAACTGTCTAATAACTTAGGTCTAATTCACATTATGAGGTCAAGGCTGGCACCTATGACCCTACTCTAATAACTGAATCATGTACATACACTATGGCTATAAGGGGGGGGGGAATATTACACTATTTCAAACAGTGAAGCATGGGTCCTCTCGTTCAAAGAAAGAATTAATGTTTGAAGTTTGTATATTTTTACCTTTGAACAACTTATCAGTTCAAGCATACATGTATAAGTACAGTACATCGTATTACATTTTTAAATTGTTCTTTACATCTGTTGCATCCTTTTTTGTTTTCTAAAGTGAGTTGTTCTATGTTTCTGTTAAATCTCTGTTATGTTATCATGAGAGATCTAAGACTGTTCTACTGTTTGTTGCTCTTTGCAGCATTTGCTTGACAGTCAGCCCAGAACCATTTTACGTTTATAGTTGCCATGGTTACCTTTATTCATGGGTTCAAATGGGTGGTATGGTTACTTGAGTAACTATAACAAAAATGCATGTATATTATATAACTAACAATACATATGTGAGTGGTTGTCAAAATCTTTATTCTAACATACCAATAGCCATGGGAGAATTGTTAAGTTGCCATAGTTACGTGAGGGAGGAGAGGGGTTATTGCTTCGCTGCATTCTGGTCGATTCTGGTTATCTATTTGAGTCTGTAATCAGGAAGATGAAAGGCACAAAAGATTATTCATTTGGCAGAAGAACCGTGAGTTTATATATACTCTCAAGGGCTTAATAAAAAGCTAGATGGTGTATGAAGGGCTAATTCCCTTAGCTGGTAACCATGGTGTTTGGTCAGTTGATTTACATTAACCTGTTGATCAGGTGGCTCATTTAGCTATTCCGCATTCTCCTTAGCAAAGAATCATCCATTCCTCTATGTGTTGTTTTACCGCAGAGGTACAAGCTTTCTTCACTGGAGAATGGATGTTTGTATTAGAGCAGACACAGACTATACCATGGAAACTCAAGAACAATACCAAGTCTTTGAAGATTCTTTAATTGGTCATTGAGAGCTTTCATCTATATGATTCCTCATACTAGCTGAAGCATAATTGTCCCCTTGACCTCTGTTGTATGCATGAATTCTCTTCATATGCACCAGGACTTGGTCAAAGAGGACATTTAGAGGAGTTACACCACCATAGATAGAAATATGTCAATTTATAGTCAAGGATTTTTCTTATATTTTTTAACACTATGTTTCAGTGTCAAAGGTAATCAAATGACTATAACTTAAAAGATTTAAAGTTCAAGTTTAAAGATGTTCCATGTAATGAATACCATAAGAAAAAGAACAATGAATTTTGTTATGTAATAATTACTGTATATTTTGATATTAGAAATACGTACAGAAACATTTATCATTGATTTTTACCTTTTGTAGGAGATCAGAATTTGGATAGGAGACCAGAAATCAAAGAAAAGTATTACTATGCCATGTACGACATGATTGTACGAGGAAGTTGTTCCTGCTACGGACACGCTTCACGTTGTGTTCCAATCCCTGGCGCAGAAAACAGCCCAGATATGGTATGTACAGACTAAACTCCATCTCAATGTGCCCATTATGGCTATCATACTTTTTGTTGTTTTGTTTTTTATTATGGAAGTTTCCAACTGTCGCAAGTTATATGGTTTCTTGTCACTTGTAATGTTTTTGTATTGAGAAGTCAGTCCTTGTGTCGGTTACCAAGGCAGCCTAGAATATGATGATAGAGTGGGTCAATTTGGTACTGATTTGGTTAACTATTTCATGTAGAAATAAACCATTTCACTGAACTAAAATTTTAGATATCTGTAGGTTGATTGGTCTTCAGATTTTGTTTTTGTTTGAGCAATTATCTAAATAAATAATACTATATTCGCTAAACTATGGGGCACACTATGTTATAAGTGTTTCTTATACCAGTGGCAGCCTTGGTATTTGTATTTCTCCTTCACAATCAAAAATCAGAAGTATATTTTATTCATTATTTTTATTTGCTCCATAGATAGTTTAAATGTATGTTTTGATGTTCCTGTAAAGTATATGTTTCATAAATGATGAAAATGTTTCAATGTGTGGTCCTATATCATTCATTAGAACATTTTATGTTCTGCACGCATGTCTCAACACACAATTTGTAAACGCTGCTATAGAATGAAACCACTTTTATTTCAAACAGGATACACGTTGGGGAGTAAGTACATAAAATGTAGCAGCTTTTTGTTGCCGACGCTTACATGAATGTGCCAATGATTGGCTGTGATGATGTCATAAAAAATTAGAGTAATCAGTGAATCGTGATTTAATGTTTTAACGAATGATTGATTAATATGTAATATTGATTGAATTGATTGATTTTAATCTGATCGAATCTGGGGAGGGGGGTGTAATTATAATCTGGCATAGAATGCAGCAAGTGAGCTGGCGGCTGTTTTTGTCCTGTACATGCTTGAACACTGCTTTTATGTGCTATATTACTACAAGTCGAGTATGATTTGAGCAAAATAAAGGAAGGCAGGGTGATATTAGCTTCGGAATAGTTTGCATACTTTAGACCTCATTGTTATAGACCATCTTAGAGGCCCCTCTGAGATTACTATTATTCTAATCTACCTTCCTAAAGATCTGTACCAATAGCATATCATTAAATTTTGCATTCACAGTACAATGTGATATAAAATGATTTGACTATATGGTATCAGTAAAATTTGCTCAAATCAGGAATGAATGAAAGAATGAATGTCTACACCACAAGCTTGCCTGAAGCCAGCAGTCATATATATATACATGTATATAGAAATATATTGAGAAATGTGAATAAGAATGCATACTTAGGTTTATATTATACATTTGAAAAAGAGAAAAAGCATGTTTACTCCTTGTATATGTACAAGCCATTCTCAGCATCACAAAGTTTTTCTGATTTGTAAATGACATTTTATGATTGCACGTTTCTTCTTCATCATTCATGCAAAATAATTCTTAGGTTTGGAAAACATTTTTAGAATGCATGTCATAAAAAGCAAATCAAAAACTTTGTGAAAAGCCAAGCTGAATATGTGAATGATATTAACTGCACACTTAAAAAGCACTATTTATTTTAATATTTATTTAATTTATAATGTTTTATGTTTTTTTTCTAACCATAGATTTTATGATCTCAAGTAATAAGATTTATGAGTTTCTGCAGTCTGTATATGTAACTCGTGTGTCACATTAACGTTTTTATAATCAAAATATTTGCAAATTGTATCAGATGGGGATATTTATCTATTAATTGTATTGTGTAATGTAGGTTGATCCATGGATGGTAAGTGAATTGTGATCTGGTCTAATCTCCTATCTACACACTGTCCTTGTTTGGAACTTTGGGTTAGTGTTATATGTAAGCAGACATGAACTATTCAAATATACACTATATTTGGATGCTTTGTGTAGGCTTACATGGAACAGTAACCAAACAGGAAGGTTTTAATAGGTGGTGTATCTTTGCATCAATGTCTAATGATAATGCCTTGTGCTTCTTTTACACAAATGTAATGTTTTTTCAGTACCTTTATTTGAGAAAGCTATATATGAACTATGTGTGTCTTATGGATATATATGAGCTATATGTATCTTATAGCTATTATATATATGTGTTACATAGATATTAGACTATATATGAGCTATATGTGTCCTATAGATATTAAACCACATATGAGCTATATGTGTCCTATATAGAAATTAGTCTATATATGAGCTATATGTGTCTTAGATATATATATGTGTTATATGTGTCAAAGGAGCTATTAGGCTTTATATGAGCTATATTTGACGTGTATATATTTATTCTATATACTGTACATTACCTCTTATACTCGGTCTTGTGGCTTTAGTCTTCTGGTCAATCTCAATCTGTTCGAGTTGCACCTTGTACAAACTATAGTCTATATACTGTGACATCACCTCATATACTCGGTCTAATGGCCATAGTCTTTTTGTCAAATTCACCCTGTTCTCATGGCCTTGAACAAACTATGGTCCAGGGATATTCTGTCTGTACTTACAACATCACACGGATTATATCTAACATGCATTTTAAGGAATGTTTCATCACCAGCACACATACTCTGGCATGAATGAAACAACTGACTTAATGTCAATATTAAGGAATCATTCACTCGTTTCTGGTTGGGAACAAGGTCTACTTCTATGTGTATGTCTCTTTCTTTGCTCTATTATAGCCTTTCTACATGGCATTCTCCGTGTTTGTTTTTTAATGTCTTAAAGAATGTTGTCGATGTGTATTGATATTGTTTAATTATTACTGTCGTGGTTTATGGGTCTCCTATGATGTATTGTGGGTACTTTCTTGACAGATTTGAGGAACAGCCTCATAATTTTTTATTTAACTTTATTGTATTCAACTTGTTTGATTAATTTTTATTAAAACTTGTGTTTTAGTATTTATTTGTTTGCTTTATATTGCTTTAAATGAATCAAATTCATTTGCCATTATTAGTGTAGAGATCTTAGTTAAGCACAATGTTTGATGTACATTGCTTTACAGTGTTTCGATGCTGGACTTTGTAGATGTCAAATGAGAAATATCCATTCTTAATCAGTGCTGGTTGTTACTTTTGAACGATAACTATGGTACCATTTGATCATTTGATACAATTACGGCATATTGAGACACCATTCATAAATGTTGCATAATAATAATAACTTTCAACTAAGTTTATGAATTGTTTACTTTTTACAGTTTCTTTAAGTACCAACCAGCACTCCTTGAGATTGTGAATTTTTCATAAATGTACATGTTCACATAGTTTTCATCATCATCAAGAGTGAAATGTTGTTGATAATTGCTTTATTTCAGGGCTGTCTATCTTTATGGCAACTTCCTGCTTAAGTTTACTGTATGATATTAATAGTAAAAACAACAGTTAAATAATGCATGCTTTACTCATACCCGTAGATTCCACTATGAAATCTCCCTCAATCTAAAAACATATCTGTATCTTGAAAATCCAGCATGTTTATGAAATAAAAAAGACCTAATAATTTCTACACATAAACTTCAATCTATATAAATATAAATTAGTACAGTAATCCAAAAAAGCATACCTGTCAATGTACATAAAAATAACAATGATTTTTAAACTGAATAATGACATCTCATTTTGTTTGACATTCAGGGGTTCAATTCTCCAAACTTTAAGTTACTGATCAACAAGTCAATTTGTCTTTCATAAATACTCAGAAAATGTAATTGATATGCAGATCTATGAGTTTTTATTTATTTGTTCATGTGCACATATATTATCTTGAAGATTGACGGGTATACATTCTAAAATTTTTATTTTGTATCTTTAATAGTCTAGTACCATAACCAATAGATAATCCCTTTGTGATAATCTCCCAGTACATGTATTAATGCCCATGTCTGGGTTGTCTAATGCCCTCATATAGGTGATTAATGCCCTCGTATATGTTATAGGTGCATGGTAGGTGCCAATGTACTCACAACACTAAGGGACTTAACTGTGCTGAGTGTGAGGACTTCTACAATGACAAACCATGGAAACCAGCATTCCGAAAAACAATCAATGCATGTGAAAGTAAGTAACCTAAACAATCAGCCTTGTGCCAGAACAATCAATGCATGGCATAATAAGATAACAAACACGTAAACAATGTACCAACTCAATCAATGCCTTAAGAGAAAGTCATAAAAAATTCAGTCATGTACCAAACCAATCAATGCTAAAAAGTGAAAGTAAATTCTAAATCAATCAACAATGTACCAAATCAATCAATATCTTAAATTTAAGTCATATATAAAACAGCCCTGAGCCAAACCAATCAATGCTAAATGTGAAAGTAAATTGACAAAACAATTATGGATGTTCCAAGCCATGAACCAAACCAAAGATGCCCTTTGTCAAGTAAATCGCACAATGCCTGGACATTTTGTAATTAATTATATTTCTTTATCCAGGATGTCAATGTAATGACCACGCCACCCGCTGTCACTTTGACCCCGCTGTGTATGAGGCCAATGGCCAGCAGAGTGGAGGCGTCTGTGATAACTGCCAGCACAACACGATGGGTCGCCAGTGTCAGGAGTGCAAGCCATTCTTCTACCAAGTCCCTGGTAGAGCTCTGAATGATCCTTACATCTGCGAGCGTAAGTATAACAAATCGGGGAGCTCGTGGAACATCTGTCTTTTAGGCTAGGAGTCTGCATACTGTATTCAATGCTCTATAGTTTTCTGAGAGGCCATTTCTCAAAAAGATCATGAATTTCAAATCATGAAATTCAACTATCTTTGAGAAACAGACCTTCGCTGCCCCAGTCATTTTGCATGGGAAACTCCTACAATGGGTAAATTGTCACAATTGCATAAAGTGCAAAATAAAGCTGAAAGGAGAAGTAAAACAGATATAGGTGGCCATTGATAAGTAAACATTGGTTAAAAGTTTAGACATCTATGGTTTTTACGTGGCACTTTGGGGTTGATGTGAAGTGATGGGTGATATTGTGGTATATGAATGAGGAGGTTGTATTGAAGCACAATTTGATGGCAATATGTTCATTCACCAGGATTCTACAAATTCATTGTCTCTCTACTTGTTCAGTGTGATGACCTTCCTCCAAACACAAGAGATTGTTGGGATTTTAGCATTGGTGCTCAAATATCAACATTTGGGGGAAAATGAAGATTTTGTTGATGTAAGATATTCATTTTTGGCCCTGTAAATATAGTAAATCAACATTTTAAACTTTGGTTATAGGGGTGGATAGGGTTTAAGTCATAAAGTGTTATCTTTGTTTTCCCACATCTGTGTATATTTGGATGCCATCCTTTATTGAACAAAACACCTTGGATGACCTGTTCACATTTTACATTGTACTGTACTGTTGCATCAATGTTTATGTTGTCCATAATATGAAAGTGCTTTCAATGTAAAAAAAATAGTGATGTTTCGTAGTTTAGCAAGGATTAAATAATTGTCATTTTCAGTTCTTTTACCAAATATAACGAGTCCAGACCCCACTATTGAATTTATGGCTATCTGTATATTTGAAAGATAGAAAATTGAATTCGAAGTGTTTTTTTACTATTGAAAGCAAACATATAATGGGCAATATACACAAAAGGGAAGGCATGCAGGGAAGCATGATCTCTCATTAAGATTTCTTGAAACGTTGATATCCAAGCATGGGTGTTTATATAGGTATTTTGGGTTGTTATTTTTTGTTTTGATAATATGTAAACCTAAGTTAGAGAAGCATAACTAATATGCCAATACAGTATAAAAATATTGTTTATAAGTGCAAATTGCTCGATAAGCTGTTTTATATACTACAGCTATGTAAGAATAGTTAAGGCGAGCTATATGCACAAAGCTGCATGTTCTTATTACAGCTTGCGACTGCGATAGGTTCGGCTCGGAGCATAGCGGGGAATGTGAGGGACGCACAGACCAAGAGGATGGCTTGGTTGCCGGACGCTGTATTTGTAAGCGCTATGTAACTGGGATCCGTTGTGATACCTGCCTTGATGGATACTGGAATCTTCTAGAAGAAAATCCAGATGGATGTGAAGGTATAGCTGTCATCTGATTGGCTGATATTTCATCAAAATCATGACACACCTTCTCATAGATATTTGTCATACACATTCATATGCACTCATATTTGAAATATTTTTCATTGTTTTAAGTTAATTAAAAATTATTTTCACTTTTGTTGCATTAAGATCAACATTTATCATTAACCTTCTGCACTCCGACTTATTTCAGCAAATATATCCCACGCATCTGACTTATTTTTCAAAAATGATATGCCTGGACTAAATAATTAATATCTCAATAACTACTGAATGAATCTGGATAAAATTTTCACAAAGGGAAGATACACTAGCGTGGCTCATGAGAAAAATGTTCTCATGAATTTTTTTCGTACATAAACACGACTGGGCTTGAATATACCATGAATACTCCTCCAGAATCCGCCGTTTCGCCCCTCGGGAGATTCAACGTCTGGTCAGAATCCAAAACTGAATTTGCAGAGATCGAATGTTCTTCTTTTCAGTTCAGAAAATATTCTAGTTTCTATTTTCGATGACCATTATCGGCTTCCAAGAGCCTAAAGAGCTCGAAATCGCAATCCATTTCCTCCACATTTTCGTTGTGATCGTATTTGGCCGTCATTTTGTACGATTTGTTCACTAAAAACGACTTAAACACTGTTGAATTGTTGAATTGAGAAATATTTTTCGAAACATCGCCATTTCTAGGTCAACAGGAAGTCACCTACTAAGGACTGAATAAATCGGGCAATCTAATTGGATCATAAGAACGGCGGGAAAAAGTAAAGTTTTCAAAAGTTAGATTTGTGTCGTCCGGATCCGCCGGTGGATTCTGGGGGTAGTTTTGAATGGGCGGACGCAGTCGCCGGTGGTCTGCTAAAGGTTAAGTTTTGAAGTTATATGGAATATTTTGGTTAAATTATTTTCTTTTTTCTTTAGTTTTACGTAAGTATTAATTTATGCATGGTGGATGAGAGAGACACAAGTTTGGCACAGGTTGAATATTCTTGTTTAAAAACCAAAAAAATCTTAGGAAATCATTTTAATGCAGAGTATCAATTTTTATATGAGTTACTTGTATATGATAATGAAAGCATTTATGAAATCCATTTTCAGCATCGTATTTATTGTACCACAAGCACACTTCACCCAAATGTTTGATCACGTATATTCGTTGGAGTTTGACTTGACAACACCATTGTTCTCCTCGCATCATTGACCCTCCCATGTTATTCATGTTTTAAGATCCATTTATGAATATCCTTGATTTAAGATACATAAGTTAATGTTATCCATTAGTTGGGGATATTTATTGGATGTACATGTACCTTAGTCAGTGGATTTAGTGAATGTCTCATTGTGTATCTTTATCAGTTTGTATTAGATGCATTTAAGATTTCAGCAACCCTTCATCAGTTTTGAAGTTGACTCCAGTAAAATGAACTTTTATTCACCAACAATTAGGTTGTTTCAAACCAGTATTGCCATTAAGATAATATTTATCATTTTTACCATATATATTATTTATAATTTCAGCTTAATTTCCTCAGACATATCATACTAAGATTTAAAGATTCATTATCATTAAGACTTTATTCCATACTCATATATTCACTAAGTTACTGCCTTTATAATTATTATGATAAAAATAGGGATGTTATATGGTGGGCAACCAACAGGTCATTATTAAAGCCATTGTTCTCTAGTAAAGCCTTACATGCTCTATTAAAGCTTTAATCTTTGCTGTTATCACACAACAAATATGTGACTTTTTAAGGTGTGTTATTAAACTACATACTGACTGATTGGCTTAGTCTTTCATCAAATCTCTTTGATCTCCCACCCTCTCTTCTCCCACTTGCTTTGTCCACAAGAGTAGAGAAGTGGGTAGGGGGGTTAGTTGGAGAGAGTACCACATAGAGTTGATGTAAGACTGACTCCTTCTTATGCTTTATGTTATTTGCTTGTGTTATTATTGTGTTATAGCCTGTACCTGCAACACCTTGGGAACAGTTGGTAACTATGGATGCGACAAGGTCACTGGCGTCTGTACGTGCAAGAGATTTGTAACAGGAAGAAGCTGCGACACTTGCTTGGTGAGTGGATTGCAGCGATTTTATCTTGTGTAAAATAGTGAAATAAAAATGATTATAGATATGATTTTGAACGAGACTTGTTTATTGTCTGTAATATGGAATTAAATCTCTGAAAATGTTACTTAAGTTATGATATTAATATTGCATACAGAAATCATTTGGCGTAGGTGATTAAATTGTGTATATTGTTTGTTACAGCCTGGGTACTATGGTCTAAGCAACGAAAGAGAAGGCTGCAAGGCATGCGATTGTGACGTTGGTGGCTCCCTAAGTAATGACTGTGACCAGCGAACTGGGGAGTGCCAGTGTCGGGAGAACATCATTGGACGTCGCTGTGACCAATCCAGACCAGGCTTCTTTATCCCTGACCTTGACTGGATGAAATATGAAGGAGAGTTTGCAACAGGAACTGAGGTAATTGAACATCCCACACACACAAATAGATGGACACTTTTTCAGATGATATCATTATCAATAGTAAATCCATCTAAATGTAACGAATATTCATTTCTGAAAGAATTTTATAGATCATGTACTTATGTTTTACTGTTTATGTTTTTTATAATATAAGGTTTGCATCCATATCTTTTATGTTTTAGCGCACACGTGTTGTGATAAGAGAGTTGATACCTGGACGTATCAGGACATGGACTGGCCCAGGGTTCATGCGAGTTCACGAGGGAGACAGCCTCACTTTCAAAGTTGATGATATCGTAGCTTCCGGAGAGTATGACATCATCATCCGATATGAGCCACAGGTAAGAAATATTTTATATCACTTTACATTATTTTTTATCACAGGATTTAAATACATATTCATTGATTATTTCACAACATAATACCATATGACATGTTTTATGAAACTTCAATAATCAGTACATTTCATTTGCAGCCTTCCACTGTTGAGCTTGGCTCTAACTTTGTAATAAATGCATCAATAGTTGTTCTTAGAATCGCAATATTTCATGCTACTTAACTGGCATTCAACATTCTATATAATGTTTATTAGTACTCTATAGTTGGCTGACAGTACTATGGCTATTTATCTGGCAAATGGTGTCATTTTGTTAATATTACAACTTTCGTAAAATAGTTTAGAACTTTACATTCTAGTGCTGAGATAACATCAGAGGATAATTTATTAGATGGAATTTAACAAAGCCTTATAGAGCTTAAAATTCTAGAATGCTTAAATATACTTCAGCATGCAGGCTTTTTCTAAAATGTAACTCAAATTATGAAATCATTATCAAATATTAACATATTTTATTGATAATTTTTACTAGAACAAAACCGAGGTTGGTACTTACGATTTTATGCTTTTGGGAATATTGTGCTTGACATACTAGGTCATTAATCCATCATAACAGCCGAAAATGATCAATCCCCATGACATTATTGGTTCCCCTCATTTAACATTAATTTCATTTTTCTCCATGAATATGTTCAAAATTGCTGCATGTTTTAACATCAGAATACAGAGTTTTTGGCGAGAATTTTGGACATATTTTAAGAATTGATTTTTTTACTCAATAATATTTTAATACTTTCACATATATATTGATAACATCAGGATCAGGACTCATCGATGTATTAAAACACAAGATTAGCCCCGATTTCTCTATTTACGTATCGCACACAGCACATTTATCAACAAATTAAATCAAGCATTTGATATGATGTACTCACTCAAAATTTTTCACCTCATCATAATTGAGTGTCATCGCATAATTGATCCAATCAAAAATCAGAAAAATGCAGATGTTGCTACTTTCGACACGACAGTTCTCAGGGTTAATAATGCGATGAGTGATGTGATTTGCATGTTCGCATAAATGCTATGTCAGTGTTTAGACAATGTCAGCATATAGATGATGTCAGCATATAGACTATGTCAATGTATAGACTTTAAGCAAAACATATTTCCTCTGTGCTATTACAGTAAAAGAACACACTTAGCATGTTGCTAAACTGCACGAGATCTTGAGGAAATATGACGGCTTCTAAATGTATATGTAACCACCATATATTATATATTGTATTTTATTTATACCTTTTGAATATAAACATATATGGATGATTCTAAAATGCTCTCTACCAATTGATGATTTGCGATCACCGAATGGATTCTGTCTTTTAGTGACGTCACAATTAGGTCACCCAGCTTTAGATGCTTGATTTTGAGAGATTATCTTCTATATTTCGTGCTTTATTGATTTATTTTTCACGAAAGCGTTCTATTTGACTAGATCAACATTCATGCTAAGCACATACCAAGTCTAAGGTCTTACTGACATGATTTAGATAGCGGTTTAGCGCCCCCCGATTTTGACAAAAACGGGGGGCGCTTATAGGCATCGATGTTTAGTATGAATTTCACCCAAACTTCGCATATATATAGACATACTCATGATCTAGTCAAATCGGCATACCTGGTAAATATCCGACCCATGGTTTTTATATAAGAAATGACAATATTTTTAGCTCAAAACTGCCACGTGTCCGCCATTTCGTGATTCCATCATGTCTAATATCATTTCTATATGACGTCATACCAATAAGACGAAATACGTGACAACAGTATCCATAAACAAAATTCCTGAATTCTGATCGCAAAAGGTCAATTGAATCTCAAAGCCAGGTCAAAGATTTTTAGTAGCATCCATATAGTAAAAAAATGATTCTGTATATAGCATTAAACGACAGTCTAATACGCAAGGGGTGAATGACACTACACATGTTAATCTGTGATTTATTAATTACATAAAACAGCCGGGCAGCAAGCCCCTCAAGTCCATTGTTAGCATTAAAATCCGTGACGTCACGATATATTAATCCGCTGACGTTCAACAAAAATTTTCTTCGTCAGAAATTTCTGAGATCTCTCATTTCGAAAATTGAATTGCTTGTAACACGCAAAATATATGATCATAATTCCTGAAATTACACAGAATCGTTGAGCTTAAGATGCCTGATCTACGCTGCTAATATTGAAACAATCACGCACGTCTGTCGTGGCGAACAGAAGTTTGTCAGATTTTCAACTTTTTTGTTGAAAACACCGTTTCAAGTCGCAATTACTAAGCAAAAACGTAAAATATAGTATTGATTACTACCCTCGCCTGAGCATATATATCTATACATATGTCCCTTGTATAAAATAACTTATTCGATAAAATATAAGTTGAGAAAACAGACATGATCGAGTGGTTAAAAACGATTCCAAACCTACCGCCATTAAAACTCTGAACTCAGTTTGACCTTTGTATGTTTTGACCGGACGGCGTGACATCTATAGATGAAATCGAATTCTGACTGCATTCTATCAAGTTTTTAGACAAAATCCACTCTCTCCTGCATTTACAATCCCTTTTCAAAGAACTGTTACTATACCAGCAGGATATCCGGCCGGGAGAAGATAACTGGCCGGCCAGAAAGGGTTGGCTAGTGTATAGAGCCCTTTTAGTCTCTATCATGCCTATAGGAGGTTAATACATGTACATGGAGTCATGGACTTCTATATACTGCACATAACATGCTGTGTTATAGTTTATCACTGCCTAGGTCATTGTGACCTTGGCTGACAAAGGCACTCACTGTACCTTTCCATTAAAGTCGTGGGGTGCAATATTATATATGAGGGGTCAATCTCAAAATCATATTTTTCATTCAAGGCCACTTAATACAAATATGAATTTTAATGTTGTTACAAATAAAAGCCCATTCTAAAGGTGTACCAACATAAAGGGTCTAGTGCACTCTCCTTTATGATTTCCCCATGAACAAAATGAATAATTTTTAGGTGTAACATAAAGAATGCAATGTCACATAATACTTTGGAAAATATTTAAGCATTTGGACCCACATGGGCTGAGGTTGAGGTCATTAAGTTCAGCAAGGGTGTATATACTTGACATTGGATGTGCTCCATTGACTTAACATATGGATAACATTAGATTCCAATTGAAGCCATTGGTTTCTATTGATTTTCGAAAAATACCTAAAATACACTATGACCTGAATCGATTGCAAATTAAATAATTTCACAATATCACAAAAATGGTATATCACATCAGACTGTCAGATGTGCAAATATGAAGTTTGCAATCAATTCAGGTCACACTTCAAATTAAAAGATTAAACATTTTTTCTTTTTTTTTTCCCTACAAAATGGCTATAGAAAAATGCTTCAAAAGCAACTTATTCAGTTATTACACTTATGAAACGCCATACAACTTTGTGAATCCAAAGTTTATACTGTTATGTTTCATGAATTAATAACATATTTGGATAAGATGGGGAGATCATAATGGAGAACACCCTACTTCCTTTCAGTGAGAGCACCTGGGTGCTGTAGACACTTTTGCATTTTGGTTTGGTATATTTTATCTCAATTCCTGATTAAATTTCAATTTCAATTATCATTTCATTTCCACTAAAAATTAGATTATATTATTATTGCAATACAAGTAGATTTATTTTAAAAAAACTGAACATTATTTCCTTTGCCTGTTTACAAAATTTAATTTCAATTTCTTTACATTTCTACATATGAATTGAAGAGGTTTAGACCCCTTATTGAATAATCTTTTCATGCAATTAAAATAAAGAGAAGATCCTCTTTGTGAGACTTCAATATTTTGAAAGAAATGTTGACATGGGGTTGCTATTCATAAATATTTGAATTGTTTAATTGATATTTTTGTTATCCTTGAGAATTTTCTTGAGAGATAACATATTGTGTTAATGAGAAAAGTTGTATCTAAACTCATAAAGTACTCATAAAAATATGATTGTCTAAAATCACTTGCCATACTATACCTGGTCCTTTAACTATCTTATGCCCAACTCATTTAAATATAATGGTACTTGCCAATATTCTATTCATATTTCAATGAATATTCTATTCATATTTCAATGAATGTTCTTTTCATATTTCAATGAGTTTACCACAAACATTTAGTGGATTAATCCATCTGCCAGTAGTTGAATTTAGTCCCTCCTTTCTGATTAATAGATTTGTGAGACATCAGACTTTACAGTTTATGCCTTGACACTTTTAACAAAGAACAGTGTTAGTGTTTTTGGTCAATGAAAGACTCACCAAATTCTTGCTAAGTTGAACTTAAATGTATATTCCATCTTGAATGTCCCCTCTCAACATTAATTGTTTCTCAATACATCTGGATATTTGTTGTCAATGATACTATTTACAGCTTCATTTTTCCAAAACTTATAACAGTATTCAGAATATTCTGATGCAACAATAATCAGCACAGGGTATCTTGATTTGTATATTATGTAGATACATAATCCTATTTTCCTAGGTCAATTATTAATAAATCATTGTTGCTCTGCATTCCTCGAAACATGTCTCTCTTGATTGGGTCCAGTCAGCCAGTACCCCATTGGCCTGGAAATATATAGAAGAGAAATTTTATATCTACATTTTGACTACTATTTGAAATTATAAAAGCAAAATAACATTGTCACCCTTAAACTATTTAATTGCACATTTTTTCAATCAACAAAGTTTTAAAAGACGTTAAAAGTTATACAAATATTTCATACGGTTTAATTTAAAAATACTTGTTCATCTTTTAACGATTCTAGAAAAGTGTATTACCCAAAGCCTAAAGGGTCAGTGGAATACACTTTGCAGAATCATTGAAAGTGCAACAAGTATTACTAATAATGGATAGTTGATATCTATATGTATATAAGATTATGATAAACTAACAATCAGACATGACTTTTC